TTGAAAGTCAGCATCGTAAGCAATTGTCAGCCAGTGTGTCCAAGTTTCTACATAAACCTGGGAGCGGTCTTGTGTTGTGTATATCAGTTCTTCCAATTTTCTTAAGTCCTCCATTTTGTTAAACCAGACCGTGAGGGGTGGTGTGAGTTCCTGCTTGCAGTGTAAGGGGGAGACTTGTTTGGTAGTAGTTAAGATCTGAATTGTGAGGGATTTCTTATTTTTGGCAGTCTGCGTAGTAGTATAGTGTAAGAGAAATGGGGCTGGTTAGAAAGGAGGGGGCGGTCAGAGAACCTCCACAGGATGGCGTCAATTGCCTTCCAAAATAGTTTAACCTTCGGGCATTCCCACCAGATGTGGAGGAACAAACCTGTGGTCGCATGGCAGCGCCAACAGTTCCCGTCCAGTGACGGCTTTATTTTTTGGAGGGCCTGTGGGGTTCGATGCCACATAGATTACACTTTAAATGTGGTTTCCTGGGTCTTACTTGCTAGGGCGCAGTGCTGTACCAGGTCACATATCTTCCCCCACTGTTGTGTGTGAAATTCTCTCCAATTGCCATTTCTCCATGTATGCTGGTGCTGGGAGATTTAAGTTTTGTTGAAGCAACGGGTAGAGGATAGAGATCGCATGGGGTAGTGGATCTATGTCTACACACATACGCTCAAATGGAGTTAAAGCTCTGAATAAACTTGGTTGTTGAGGTAATGACGTATGAATTGTCTCAGTAGTTCATATTTCAGGCAAGACAGATACAAAATGTATTTCCTTTCTGTAACTAGCCACTAGCCACTAGCCTGAGCTAAGGAATGCATTATGTAAACAGGCCAAGTGATAAGCAATGAAGCAGGGGGATGAAATGCTCTGTTTAAATGTTAATGGAATAGAAATATTTTTAAACACAGACACTAGTGACAGAGAAGACTAAGTCATTTTACTTTCTAAATTTTACAAGGTCCCATTGTAAGTAAGGGGTGAAATTGAGTTTAGAACTGTCAATTTTAGAAATTACGATCAAAGTCATTGCCACAAAGACTGAGGCAACGCTTTGAACTGACAGAAAATGTAAGTTATGGTAGTCATTTTAGATAAGCCAAATGACGTCAAAATCGTCATCAGGAAAAGTTAACTCTTTCCTGGATAAGAAGGTTTACTGAGGCGAGACTGCCCTCTATGGACGAATAATCTAAATAGCAATCTGCAGGTTGACCACACCTTCAGTATCCTATTGGCCTTATCAACTAATGACGTACAGAGAGTCTGGCCCTTTAAAAGTTAGGACAAAGGGAAGAGAGGAGAAGTTTTGGGCATTCAGATTTGGACATTCAGAGAGATCCTGGACAGATATTAAAGTTCCTTGCACTAACCCTCAAACTCTCTTGGACACAACTCAAGAAACACTCCTTGACACTTAGAATTTTACTGATACTTTCTAACCAACATCACTTTTCTCTATTACTTACACACCTCCATACAACCAATCATACGCGCATCCAAGTTCCTGGGACTACCTACTCATCTGATGAGAATATCTACATAATTGGTAATTATGCTGGTTTTGTTTAATTAATCTAAATTAATTAAAAATTTACTAATAGCATGATATATGACTGGATAAATCACGGTCAGATTTCAATATTTAGAAATCTTAGTTAACTATAGAATATATAGTTATAAACATTCCATTCTGCAGGTGGAATTAAGAATAATTATATATTAATGTGATATTATCACGTGTTAGCATACCGCTGTTTTTATCCAGGTGTATTGATTTGCTCTAAAATAAGATAAGATATCTTTTTAAGCAAATTAAAATTTGGCTTTTGTAAAAGTCTGGTAGATTATTCTTATTGGATGGTTCCAGGAAATGATTAATGAGCTGGTTCGAATGTTAATTTAATAGAAAATTACATGAGAATAGGATACTATATGCCTAGGAGGATCTTGCCAGCATTGAAAGGGTTATTCAGTTGATCTAACTGTTAGCCAAGGTTTTACGACTTTTCGCTGTGCTGTGTGAAGTTTTGCTTTCTGTGTCTGTTAAGTACTCTCATAAATCAGTTGATGCTGTAGCTTTGTACTGTGTTTAAACATTGTATTGCATACTTATGTTATACTAAATATTCACTAGGCATGCTGCCTAATATTATTATTTTATTTTTCACAATAAATTATATCTATTTTTATAACTAATTGTGATTTTATTTGTATGGAATACATTTCACTTACATGATAATGATCTCTAAGATCTAAGAGAATTGAAATATTGGGCAATTCTCAACTGTATAATATTATCATCCCATAAATATCCCCACAGTCTGACCATTGGAACCGCAAGCTCGATTGGAGCACATCAGACCCCATTTTTGGAATTGTGATATTCAGTATCTTCAATTTTGAGTAGTTTATTTTAAAGTTAGAGAGAGCGCTGTATGTGTCAAATTCCTTCATGAGATTGGGAAGTGATGTTTCAGGTGTGGCCACGAAGAACAACAGGTCGTCAGCGTAGGCTGCCACTTTGTGAATTATGTCTCCCACATGTAGTCCCCTGATGTTCGGATTTTGTCTCACTGCTTGGAGGAATGGTTTGAGGGCCTGGACAAAGAGCAGCGGCGACAGCGGTCAGCCTTGTCTAGTTCCATGTTGTATTTGGAAAGGTTCTGTATAGGTGCAATTAATGCACACTCTGGCCTTGGGGTTATCATAGAGTGCTGCAACCCAGTGGTGCATGTTTGGTCCTATTCCGATGGCTTGTAGCGTCTGCATAAGGAAGCCCCAGTCCACTCTATCAAATGCCTTCTTGGCGTCTGTGGAAAGTAGCAAAAGGCCCTTTTCATTCTTTTGGGCCTGAAGGATCAATGCTAGTGCCCGAGTCATGTTATCTCTAGCCTCTCGGAAGGGTACAAAGCCCACCTGATCTGCCTGTACCAGGGTAGGTACGTGTGATTTTAGTCTGGTTGCTAGTATCTTTGCAAACAGATTCAGGTCATTATTTAGGAGTAATATGGGTCTGTAGTTGGAGCACTGCTCCAGGTCCTTGCCCTCCTTTGGGATTAGGGTGATATTGGCAGTCATGGTTTGGGTGGGCAGTCTGTCCCTGCATAAGAGAATGATAGGCTTTCAGGAAGTGCGGGTACAGGACATCCGCAAATTGCTTATAGTAGCGCAGCATGAGTCCATCTGGGCCTGGGCTTTAATCCGTGTTAGTGGATTTAACTGCCTCTGCCAATTCTTCTATAGTAAGAGGTGCTTCCAGGACTTCTATCGCTTCCCCTGTTAATTTCGAGTGGCAGTTAGTTTCCAGGTATTACCGTATGGGCGTGCGTTGGGATAGCTGTGGTCTGCACCCAGCTGGCGGCTCTTGGGAATAAAGATTCTCGTAGTACAAGCGCGCTCTTGTAGTAATCTTGTCTGGTAGGCGTTGGGTCAAGCCTCGGTGGTCACATAGTTGAGCTATATAGGATCTGCTCTTCTTTTTGTTAATGAATTGGGCCAGTAATCTGCTGCATTTATCACTGTTAACGTAGAAGTATGCTTTTGAGCATTGGAGTTGTATTTGGTAGCAGCCATGCAGGAGGGTAGCTAGTTAGCCTCGTAGTGCGGCTAGTTCCTTGAAGCTGGTCAATGTTTGGTCAGCTTTATGAGTCATCTCAAATACGTGAATATTGTGGACAAGATCTTCAATTTCCTTTTCCCTGGTCCTTTTTAAAGCAGCCCCTTTGGCTATAAAGAAACCTCTGATCATGCATTTATGCGCCTCCGAGATCATTGGAGCTGACGTATCAATGGTCTCATTGTCTGTGACGTAATGAGTGAGAGTCGTGTTGACATCCTGTAGGACAAATGGGCCAGATAAGAGTGTTTTTTATTGAGTCTCCAATTTAAAGTACATTTAGTTTATCTTTAGACACCTTGAAACTTTTTGTGTTCTAGTGAAGAATTTTACCTATTTTACATAAAGGGAATCAACACAGTAAAGAATGACACTATATTTAAAAAAAGAAAAACTACCAAACAAGAGGACATAGTCTTAAATAAGAAGGCCAAAGGTTTAAAAACACCAGGAAGTATTACTTTACTGAGAGAGTAGTGGATACATGGAATAGCCTTCCAGCTGAAGTGGAAGAGATTAACACAGTTAAGGAGTTTAAGCATGCGTGGGATAGACATAAGGCTATCCTAGCTAGAAGATAAGGCCAGGGAATTTTTAGAAAACTGGGCATACTAGATGGCCTGAATGGTTCTTATCTGCTGTCACATTCTATGTTTCTCTCTTCTGAGTAGGATGATCCTTGAATTGTGTTTGAACATTATTTTTCAGCAATTTGGACTAGGCTTTTTGTTAAGTTTATTATTGAGGAGAATTGGCAAAGGAGTTAAAAACGATAGGCTAACACACTTGGAAAATGAATAAATAGGTGAATTGGCCATTTTGAATATTTGAACAAAAATCACAATACACTTGCCAAGTTTTGTTAATATTGGAATAAAATTCACCCCCTGGCTGAATAACATTCCGAAGGGACAATTACAAAGAATTAGGAAAAATTGCACAGATAAAGAAAAATTTGAAGAACAAGCTAAGGTAGTTATGGACAAATTTACTCAGAAAAAATATCCAAAACAGCTGTTGGAAAAAGCATACAATTAAGTGATAGATTTAGATCCAATAAAACTACTAGGTGAACACAAAGCTTTAATAGACCAATAAAGACAAAGAAAATATATTACCATTGGTTTTTGATTTTAATCAAGATTGTAAGAAGATTAAGTCAATCATAAACACTGGCATGTTTTGAAAAAAGAAATTAACTTTCAAAAATTATCCCTGAGAAACCTTTTTATTACTTTTAGAGGGGCACCACATTTTAAACTTATTTTAACCTTTAATCACCCTAACAGAGATATTGCAAAAACCTTTTTAGATGACAAGAAAGGTTTTTATTCATGTAATAAATGTAGACGCAGCAAAAATAAATTTAAAACTAAATATAATGATGCAGAATTTATCATAAAGGATTTTATCACATGTTTTAGTAAGAATGTAATTTATTTTTTAAGATGTCCGTGTGGACTTCAATATGTAGGGCGAACAATTCGCCCTCTGCACAAACGGATATATGAACATGTGAATAATATTACTAGAGGTTATGAACAACACAGCGTCTCTGCACATTTTAAAAAGTACCATAATAAAGATCCTAGCGGCCTTACATCTTTAGGAATAGAGATAGTGAAAAAATCATGGTGGGGAGGAAGCCATATTGTAGATATTGGTAAAAAAAGAGATTCAATGGGTACATAAATTAAAGACTTTGGAACCCAGGGGGTTTAATATAGAATTTGATTTATTGACTTTTTTATAAATAAAAAAGTTTTAAATATTTTTATATATACTTGTATATTTATTTTTATATGTAATTTTTTAATTGTATTCTTTGGATAAATTGTAGACACTGAACAGTTTTTGAAAAGAGAGATATCCATATGTATATGTAAAATTTTTCCACTTTCCGTCTTGAGCAGGATTTCCACAATTTGTATATATACAGAAATATAGGTATATATACATATTTAATTCTAATAATACGTTATTTTTATGTAGATTGTATATTGTTGATTTCATATTACTGTTTCTTTAAGATATAATTATAATAAGAAAGTATATCTATAAATATAAATGTGCTATTAGGAAACAACACAAAGAAAAGTGTGGGAATAACTGGCGCTTATAAATATAGTATAGAACAAATTTCAAAAAGCTGCTATAAAACACTCATGAGGGTACTCCAAAACCACTCTCCACATGCAAAAAACAACCAGTAAACCTCAAATGGGTCAGTGTGACCACCTTCCCACTATTGGTAAGAGTGTAGCGCTAATAGGTGTATATTAACAGTGCTCAAAAATACAAATATACACTTACCACTCAAGGTAATATCAGAGAGGTAGATATATAAAAGGAGAAAAACAGAAAACATACATAGGGTAATAAAGTAGAACCAGTGTTAAAGTGAATTTAAGTATATACAGATACACTCACATTTATTAGAGCCTTTTATATGGATATAGGCTCTAAACACTCAAGTATCCGTGCCTTTAAGGTAGGCAGCGAGACCGTATTGATACTGCTTGCTTTTATTTCCTCTTTTTCCTTCCCTCCTTTCAATCAGGATGAAGACTCCAAGAGAAAAGAGAGACAAACTTCTGGGTGCAGATTGTTTAACTTTAACATATAAAGCAATATCTTTTTGTGATGAAAAAAAATGGGAACTGCTCACCTATTTATGAGCCTTTTAAACTGGCTCTAAGTTTAATTGGCATATGTGTCTCATATGTAGGGTGACACTACCCTTAACCGGATCCAGAAAATCAAGGTGGAGGTAAGTATATTCCAACACAAAATTTATTATAAATGAATATATAAATAAAATTTAAAAATCATTAAAATATCAAATAATAATGATAATAAAAAGTGAATAAATACAATATGTGCCGAAGTCCTTCCTCTCCTGTTCAACCAAAACGCGTTTCGCCTTCTCCGTTGGCTTTTTCAATTGGTATTCAATCGATGTCCTGTTTTCCGGTTTTAAAAGAAATTGTTGCTCCCGCCCTTCCTCTCTGCTTCCAATCATTTGCCCAATATCAGGTGATCTTAGTTGCGGCTTGTAATTGCCGTTACGTCATTTCCGATTCGCCGTCCAGAACTACATTTCCCACAAGTCTCTTCCCTGTAGTTCTAGGCGGTGTTGAGAATTCCAAAGTTCGTTCTGCCTTAACGAGTGTAAAAGCACTCATAAGAAGATAGGGGTATATTTATGAGGATGGGAAAGGAAAAGCATTTTACATTCTGAAAAATATATTAGTCACACACAAAATAAAACATAAACCTATACATAAAAAAGAAATGAAAAACATTATAAATACTAATTTAAGTATACTATTATTTTCAATGCAAATTTGAGTGTTACATATAATATTCAAATGTATGGTATATTTCATCAGTCTTAAAGGGATAAATACACATACATATACATACACCTATATATATCCATACATACATATATATATATCTATATATATATACATACACATACATATATATATATATAGAGAGAGAGAGAAATACAATGCATATGGGGAAGAATAATTTATTATATAGTACTTTAAATTATATAGTACTTTATAAATGTGCTATTATATGCTATTGGTTTTTAAAGGTTAAATTTTGTATTTAAATAAAGAAGGTTTTTAGATGTTTTATATTTTGTATAAGTTTCTGATTGCGGTATTTTGGCAGCTTGCGGTGGAAGAAGCCGATCCTTACACCGTGAGAAGTCTGAACTGACACATTGCATGTACGAGGGGGTTGTTTGGAAAAAGCTGCTATTTAATCTGTGCAATAAATCTGAAAGTGGATTGTTTCTGTCTTTGCCATTTTTATCACAGGAGGGATTTATATCAGGAGCTGTCATAATTAGAGCATACTTCTCTGCTCTACTCTTGTGATTGAACACTTTACACATTTAAATTTAGCTTTCTGTGTTTATAGAATTACACTATTATTGTCCCCCCCCCTTTTTTTATGTTATATGGAGAGGATCTACATTTGAATTTAAAAGTGAGTGTCTTGTGTATTCTACCACAATTGCACATATGAGTGCACAATATAAGTGTTAAGGATATTTATGCACTTTATATAAAGCACGTTTTGCACAATACAACACTTGTTGCAGCTTAAATAAATTTTTGTCTTAAAGGCACAGCGCACCTATGTTTTGATTTTTGTATTAAGTTTAGTTAATAACTGCAAGGCACCACATTTTTAATGACAAGGCAACACCCATTATCTTACTTAAAAACACTGAGAAAATCTTTGTTGGGCTGATAAATAGCAAAAGTATTTGATCCCATGCTGATTTTGAACGTTTACCCACTGACAAAGAAATTGTGGCAGTACTTACTGAATCCGGGGAGCCGGACGAACATCTGCCTTATCCGGGGGCGTGGCTTGAGCAGTCCTGCCTCCACAAGAGCCGTGTGTGGCACGATTTACACTTCTGAGTGGGCCACGTGCACTGACCGCAGTGAGTGGTCATGCTGCCTACCTGGCACTAGGAGCGCAGCTCATGTCACAAGCGCGCTCTTAAAGGGGCAGTGGGAGCCAAAAGTGGATTCAGGCTCCCATTGGCCCACATCATTCCGGCACCCCCACACATGCACATTTTGGGGGCGTAGGCATGATGTGTGCCAATCAAATGATAGTTAAAGAATATTTAAACTTCCCTAGCCCTATCCACTTTGTGGTTTCTGTTTCAGGACCCTTTACTGCATTCCTTGATCTATTGTGTATGTTCTGGTATTGACCTTGGCTTTGTTCCTTACTCTGAGTTTATCTTTAACCCTTTAATCCTGCCTTGTTTGCCCATCTGACTTATTACCGTGTACCTGAATCTGGCTAGTTCTCGTTTTTGCTGTCTCTCCTTTACCCTGAACTTGGCTCTTTATCTCTGCCTGATGCTTAGTTCGGCTTAGTCCAGCCATCCTAAGGTAATACGTTATATCTTTGTCCTGTCACTTGCTATCCTAAACTCTGCGTGTTGGGGTATTACACCATAGCATTTCAATAGGGCCTTGGACCCTGCAGGTTTAGGACAGCAAATGGCCACCTATGAGGCGAGGTTTGAAGAGCAGGATCACCGCAACACCAGATGACCCAGGCGCTTCAGACACTTTTGTCCAGAGCTGATTACTTGGTCCCTGTGACACTAGTATCCATACTATCTCAACCTGTACCTCCCATTCCAGAGGCATCTAACCTGACTAATCCATCAGCACACCTGACTAAGACTTCTAGGGGGTTTCTCAATCAAGTGAAATTACACTTCGAGATGTATCCCGATCCTTTCCCACCGACAGATCAAAGGTGGGGTTCCTCATGCATCAACTCACCGATAAGGCACTTGAGTGTGCTAATCCCATATGGAAGGCTAATGGTCCTCTGGTTCATGGTTTTCATGGTTTCCTTAACGCTTTTTGCAGGACCTTTGACATTACCAACAGGGCTAAAAAATGCATAAATGAGAATCAAACAGGGATCCAGGTTGGTTGCTGACTACGCTATCCAGTTTCGTACCTTGGCTTTTCAGGTAGACTGGAGAAACAGTGGGCTTGTTACAGAATTTATGGAAACTCTATCCAATGCTATATTGGATGAGGTAGCTGCCAGAGACCTCCCTGTAGCCATGGAGGATCTTATTGACTACCTCATCGATATAGACAATAGAATTCATGATAGACAGTACACCAGGAATAGAAATGGATGCCTTACTGTATCTGTTGCACCTAAGGTTGATGTTCTTGAGATTTTCACGGTACCAGAGGTAGAACCTATGCAGTTAGGGGCTACCAAGCTTACTGATGCAGAAAAACTGTATAAGAGAAAGGAAGGTCTTTACTATGGCAATAAAGGCCACATGCAAAGAGAGCCCTGTTCAGCCAGAAAATTCCTGCACTTAAGACCGCATAGGTGTCATATTTGCCTCTAAAGAGACTGCTTCTCCCAGTTTCCCTGCGTTTCGACAGTTTAATAGATATAGGGAATGTTCTAGCCCTAGTTGACCCCAGTGCAGTTGAGAACTTTAGTGATTCCAACTTTGTAAAGTCATACCAGATACCCTTAAGGGAGAAGGAAACACCCTTGGCCATTGAGGCCATAGATGGTAGACCATTATGTTCCCCGGTGATTGATCACAAAATGCAATCCCTGTATATGTCTACAGGGTTGTTGCATACCAAAATTATTCAATTGCAGGTAATTTCTACTCCTTCTCAAATCATATTAGGGTATCCTTGGTTGCTGTTACACAATCCCACTCCTTACTGGGAGTCAGGTGAAGTAGAATCATGGAGTACCAAATGTTATGAGTCTTGCATCACCAAAGTTACTCCATTGAATTCTGTTAACGTACCAACAGCTCCTCCTTTGTCTACTGTTATACCTCCTCAGTACATGTCTTTAAGAGTGTATTTGAGAAGAGAGATGCTGAGAAGTTACCACCCCATAGACCGTACGATTGTACGATTGATTTACTACCTGGTTCTATACCTCCCAAGGGAAGAGTGTATCCTTTGTCTCCCAAAGAGAAGCTTGTCATGGAGGAGTACATCAAGGAATCATTACAGAAAGGGTTTATCAGGAGATCCTCTTCTCCGGCCATGGCAGGCTTCTTTTTTTGTACCTAAGAAAGAAGTTGATTTAAGACCGTGTATTGACTACAGGGGTCTTAATAAAATCACAATCGAAAATGCCTATCCCATTCCATTGATAACATAATTATTTGCTAGACTTAAACAGGCTACAGTATTTATGAAGCTGGATCTACTGGGTGCCTACAATCTAGTACATATTAAAGAGGGTCATGAGTGGAAGACTGCCTTTAACACCAGGAGTGGTCACTATTAGAGTTGAGCGAACTTGAACTGTAAAGTTCGGGTTCGTACCTTAACATTACGATTTTTTGACCCCGAAACCTAACCCAGACATTTCAGTAACAGTTTGGGTTCGAGTTCGGTTTTCAGCGATTTAATGGTGCGTTTTGAAAAGCTGCAGAGCAGCCAATCAACAAGCGTTTGACTCGTGTGCAGGCCCGTCGCGACAAGGCAAGCAAACCAAGCAATTGCTTGGGACCCTGAGCTGGCCTGGGGCCCCAAGACAACAACTGGTTAAGAATAAAATGCAACGACAAACTGTCTGTCTGTCTGCCCCTTTGATAGTCAATGCAGTAAAGTGCAAATAGTCCTCCCTGTTCCCATGATGCCTCCTGTTGGTATTGTCGAACGTCCGGTCAACGGACGTCCTAGCGAAGTATTGTCGAACGTCCTGTCAACGAACGTCCCGGCAAAACTGTCGAATTGAGTTCTAACAGAATGAGAACAGTTTCTCCATTCGTGTTAGAACGCAATTCGGGACTTTGAATGAATGAAATTCCGATCCTATTCATTGTGGCGGCTGCATCTTGCAGCCGCTTAGTAGATAACTCCCTAATTCCCACGCTATTAGGGAGCTATCTACCAAAGTTCCAAAGAACTTTCCCATGCTGTGTAAAATGACACATAGCACTCGGATTGGCTTAACCCCTTAAGGACACATGACATGTCTGACATGTCATGATTCCCTTTTATTCCAGAAGTTTGGACCTTAAGGGGTTAAAGGGACACTCCAGGCACCCAGACCACTTCTGCCCATTGGAGTGGTCTGGGTGTCAACTCCCACTACTCTTAACCCTGCAAGTGTAATTATTGCAGTTTTTTATAAACTGCAATAATTACCTTGCAGGGTTAATTCCACCTCTAGTGGCTGTCTACTAGACAGCCACTAGAG